GTTGTCCCATCCCCCTAATCCCCCATCAATGAGTGCTTTCTTTCATGAAGGGTCAAACCAGCAGTTGGCCACAGACTTCCAGATCCCTCCTTATGGAGCTCATTTTCTGTGTAGCTCTACTGTTTCCTAAAAATTACCTGCAAATTTATAGCCATAGTGGTTCTCCTGAGCTTCAGCTTTGGAGTCATCACCTCAGCAGTAGCTGAGCTCAGTGTTACTTCTCCCATGCTGCTCTGCAGCCAGGAAACTCCCTGCAGGCAATGATCATGGACAGTCATAATTGCTTCCTTTCTGCAGGAAGCCCAGTCCTGAAATGCTAGCTGTAGGATGAATGCAAACTAATAATGTATTTTTTTTCTGATCTCCTTATATATGATGGAATAGAGTCTCTAGTAGTTTATTGTAGCCATGAGCCAACATCTGTCTATTAGTTGCTTTTCTCATTGCTATAGCCAAATATCCAACAAAAAGCAACTACACAATGGGAAGACTTTATTTTGGTTTACAGTGTGAAGGCAGAGTCCATCATGGTGGGGAAGGCATGGGAGCAGAAGCATGGTAGGAGCAGAGATTCTTTGCTCATATCTGGATAAATAAGGAGGCAGAGAAAAGAGGAAGCCAGCACTCAACTCATTTTCTCCATTTGTTTGGTCCAGGGCTCCAACCAATGGGATGGTTACACCCACATCCAGTGTAGGGCTTCAATCCTCAGTTAAATCTCTCCAGAAACAACCCTAAAAACTCATCCAGAAGTGTATCTCCTTGGTGATTCCAAATTCAACCAAACTGACAATGAAGATAAACCATCAAATTCTCTATATTTAACATCTTGTGTGATACAAATGCTTGAAGACATCACTTGTTTTTTAGTTCTACCATTTTATTTTAGATTTGGTTTTAGTTTTTCTTAGACAATTTCTCTGTGTAGCTCCAATTTTCCTAAATCTCACTCTGTAAACCAAGTTGGCCTCAATCCAGGGATCTGCCTGCCTGTGCCTACCATATGCTGAGATTAAATATATGCACCATGGTACCTGGAGGTTTTCCCAATCTGATGCCTTCAGTTCATTCTTACTAAGACAGTGAAACTGGAAATAATCATAACTTCAGTTCTTCACAGAAGCCCGTGTCTCAGCCACATGCTGTCTCAGAAGTTTGAACCATCACAAAATCTTAAGAATAGATATTATTTTTATTGTTATCTCCATTGTACAGATGTTAAAACTGATATTAAGGAAAACTAGTGAAACTGATTGGCTGGTACATTGAGTAGCTTACATATACAGGTGGCTTCTTGAATCCATATGCATCTGTACCACAAGGTCTCAAGTGTAGCACTTTTTAAAATATCATATAAAAGACAATTAAAGGCAAAATTGAGGTTAAAATATTAATTCATGCAGAAATTTTAAATTACTCATTAAAACTTTTATAAAATGGGTAATTGCTATATTACAGAGAGAAAGGGAGACAGAGAAAGAGGCATACAGAGATAGACAGAGAGGGAGGGAGAAAGAAACTGTACATGTTTATATGCATGAGTCCATGTGCCTAAAGTTGATAGAGAAGCCTACTGATGACATTGACTTTTGGAGATCTCTTCTACCAATTCTTGCAATGCTGAAATTGCATTCATTTCTCAGTTATATTTTCAAATTTTATTTTATTTTTATTAATTACAGTTCATTCACCCTGTATCCCAGCTGTAGCCCCCTTCCCCTCCCAATCCCACCTCCCCTCATCTTCTCCTATACCCCTCCCCCAGTCCAATGATAGGGGAGGTCTGCCTCCCCTTCCATCTGACCCTTGTCTAGCAGGTCTAATGAGGACTGACTCCATTGTCTTCCTCTGTGGACTGGTAAGGCTGTTCTTCCCTCAGGTAGAGGTGATCAAAAAGCCAGCCCATGAGTTCATGTCAGAGATGGTTCCTATTACTGGGGAACCCTCTTGGACACTGAACTGCCATGGGCTACATCTGTGCAGGAGTTCTAAGTTATCTCCTTGCATGGTCCTTGTTTGGAGTATCAGTCTCACAAAAGACCCCTGTGCCCAGATGTTTTGGTTCTGTTGCTCTCCTTGTGGAGCCCCTGTCCCCTCCAGGTCTTTCTATCTCCCTCTTCTTTCATAAGATTCCCTGCACTCTGTTAAAGTTTGGCTGTGAGTCTCAGCATATGTTTTGATACCCTGCTGGGTAGAGCCTTTCAGAGGCCCTCTGTGGTAGGCTCCTGTCCTATTGTTTTCTCCCTCTTCCAATGTCCGTTCTGTTTGCCTTTCAGTTTTTTTGTTTTTCTCCTAGGGTTACATGAAATATTTACACAAGCTAGGAGAACTTAAAAAAAAAAAAACAAATTTCTCATAGTTCTAGATGTTAGATAGTATACATCAGATTTCAGCACACCCTCCCACACCCTAGGCTCTAAGGGACAATCTCTGTTGACTCCCTCTGCCTTCTAGTGTCTCCTGGCCATCTTTGCTCATGGTTTCATCATTCTAGTGTCGATTTCTTCATCTTCGTGTGACTTCTAACATTTATATGTCTGGTTTTCTCTGGGCTTGTCGTTAGAGTTAGGGTTCATTTGAATCAAGATGATCTCCTCTTCAGATGTTCGCCTTAATTACATCTATATATTAAAAAAAAAAAAAAGCTGTTTTCTTAAAGAGGTTCCATAAGGTATCAGTGATTAGGACTTGGGTCTGTCTTTCTGGGGGAATAACAACTGATCCACTGCAGTCTCTACGGGAATAATGAGATTTGTTCAAGGTGACCACAGTGAGCCATCTTGGTGGAAAAGGGGCTTGGGTACCTTTGTGTTCCTTTCCACTGCTGTTGATGTTTTAGAAACTTAATACAGAGCAATTCCCATTTTCTTTACTTCTAAAACTCTCTGTGTTACAACAGAATCTAGTTGCCCTGTGACCCAGGCATTCACCTTCTCTAATTGTTTATAATTATAATCCATGGCTGGGAAATAATTCTGGACATGCAAATATAAAAAAGACCAACCTTTGACTTTTTTTAAAAAATTTTATTGGAAGCCGGAATATGTCTCCTATCCAGGAATTTCTTTTTCCTTTTCGGCAGCAAGACAATGCCTGGGTCTGCACCCTTCCCATTTCATTTCTTTTCTCCACATATCTAAGTAACAAGCCCTCCTGTTTTGCAACTTCCTTTTAACTTCTTTCTCTGCCATAAACATGCACCAGCTTTTTAAAATTCTTTGTGATGCTGTCAATTAAGTATTTTGAGCAATCTGGAGCTGAATTTGGAGGCATCAGACATAATAGCTATGTCATTACCACAGTTTACGAACGCAGGCTCATTAGCAATGATATTTTCTTTTCACCTTGCCACAACATAATGAGGTTATAAACTAAAGCAAGAGACATAAGTGTTCTTGGTTTCCCTTAGTACAATCTGCAGCCCCATATGTTACATTCTTGAAGAATAGACAAACACAGTTATATTCTTTAAAAAATCAGTTTGAAATCCAGCTCACAGTACCTCATAATGTAATCTTGGAGAGACAACCTTTAAAGAGATCATCAAGAAAAAGCAGTCTTTAGAGTGAGAATTTAGTTATATAATTGATGTCTTTATAAAAACAGGGACTTTGGAAATAAGGACAAACATTGAAAAGATGATGAGAAGAGACTCAGGGAAAAAAAAATTGTACTCTTCAAGCAAAGAAAGGGGTTCTAGAGTAGATTCAACCCTTACAAGCCTTCAAAAGAAACTAACCCTACCTGCATCTTGATTTTAAAATTTTAGCCTAGAATGACAGAGTATAGGTTCTTGCCATTTAAGCCACCGAGTAGTTGATAGTGATGACAGCATTCTCTGAATCTGAGATAGGTAGTTATAACATGTCTCTATCTCCAAGGAGCATACAGTGTGACCAGGGATATGTGTTATTCCACGGAACTCTGATTGAAAGCAATAGAATTTCAGCAATGCCTTAAACAGATGAGCAAGCACAAAGGTACACACCAAAATCCAAAGACAGGAACATCAGGAAGGTTCTTCATCTCTTGCTTCTGTCCTTCTCTCTCTCTCTTAGTGACTTGATACCTCTTTCCTCCTCCTTCTCCTCTGCTTCATTCTCTTGTTCTTCAGCCTTCTCTATTCTGGTTTTCCAAGCTTTCCTAATGCAGCTAGCAATAAATATGACCCCAAGTACCCTCAAGCTTGTACATTAAAGATATAAACCACCTATTGGGCTCGGGATGTAGTTCAGTTGTAGATTGCTTTCTTAGCATGCACAAAGCCCTGGGTTTTATCCCCAGCACTAAATAAAACCATTGTAGTACAATGCAGTTTCTGCAATTTCTGGACTTAGGAGATGGAGATAGGAGGATCAGAAGATCAGAGTCATCTGCTGTATAGTGAGTTTGAGGTCAGCCATCATTCATTTTATACAACCCTGTGTCAAAAAACAAAAAGAACAAGAGAAACAACCCCCTAGAAACAAACTGCATGTCTTGTTTTAACTTTTCAGACAGTATCATTCTCTCATTTGCATCAACTGTGACCAAAGGAACACAGACAATGTAGCTACATGTATGGAACAAGGGATATTGAGCAGATAATTTGAGAAGTGTTCTGTTACCAGAGCCATATAATCAGAGGCATAAGGCTGACAAACTTCACAGCACAAGGCTCACAGCTCTGGGGAAATTGGCCTGATAACATTTGGCATCTTCTAGTGACAGAGATAGAGTGGCCTCTTCTACTTCCAGACAGACAGAAGAGCCATGGTCATGATAGCAGGTCCTCGAATCAGACTCATGGGTTCCAGTATGATGCTTTCATCATGTCATCCTGAGCATGTCACCTGCCTCTCCACACTTCAGCTTCCTTTGGAAAAGGGAAATAAAAATTCCATTTCTAAGTTCGAGATAAGGCCTGGATATGCACTGGATAATACATAGACGTATACAGTAAGTGTCTACACTGGTGATGTTTGAGGCCTCCATTTTTGTTGTTTTGCTTTCTTCTCCAGGCTGAGTTTTCTGAGCTAAACCTGGCAGCTTATGTCACCGGAGGCTGTATGGTGGACATGCAAGTTGTGAGAAATGGCACCAAAATTGTGCGGTAAGCAGACCTGAGATCCAAAAGATATCTGAGAAGTGTATATGGGAAACCTCATAGAGACACCTCCACACTCACCTGTGGCCAATTTCAGATGTCATGTGCACATCCCCATGCCAAATGATTTCCACGGAGTCCCAGTTGCCCCTGTAAGAGAAATGATTAATGACACAAATACATGGGAAATGAAAAACAAAAAACAAAAAAACAAAAAAAAAAAAACAAAAAAACGTGATGTCGAATAAGGCTTGGGCTTGGGGCAAAAGGCATGGGTCCTTTTTTTTCCCACTTTTTAAAAAAAATTTATTTATATTTTTATAAATTGCAGTTTATTCACTTTGTATCCCAATTGTAGCCCCCTCCCTCATTCCCTCCCAACCTCACCCTCCCTTCCTCATCTCCTCCCATGCCCCTCCCAAGTCTATTGAAGGGGATGTCCTCCTCCCCTTTCCTCTGACCCTAGCTTATCAAGTCTCATCAGGACTGGCTGCATTGTTTTCCTCTGTGAAGGCATGAGTTCTTTTTGTCGATCTGTGACTCTATTCTGGCTGTGTTTGGTTCCTTTTGCTCTGTGGAATGAGGAAATGTGGAAAGAGCAATACTGCAGCCAGAGGCTGACAAAGTTTCCATAAATCCATGCATGTGAGAGCAGCCTATCCACACTATAAAGTTTTAGCAGAAGGAACAGACCCATCCCAGTAGCACAGCAGACTAAACATTCAGAGAATCCCCTCTAACCGTAGCAGAACTAAAAGCCCTGATTATCAGATTTTCTAGAAATCTGCCAGCTTCCCAGAGTGCTCAGCAGCCCTGTTGTTTCTGGAAACATGCTGTTCCCTTGGAGTTGTCCACCCACTCTGGCTCTTACAATCTTTCAGCCTCTTCCACGTAGATCTCTAGTCCTTGAGGGAAGGGATGTCATACATCTCACTTAGGGCTGAGGGTGTCGAAGTCCCTCACTCTGCATGTTATCCAAATGCGAGTCTCTGTATTAATTACCATCTACTGCAAGAAGAAGCTTCTCTGGCACTGATCTAAGGGTATAACAATTAGGAGTCGTTTTATTGCAATGTTCATTTAGCAGAATGATTGTAGTAGATTTTACCATGATCAATATAGTTTCAGGTTCTTGGCCTCATTGAAAATGTCAGCGTATGGATTCCATCTCATGGAGCTGGCCTTAAAACAGAGAAGGGGAAGTGGGCATAAAGTCCCTCCCCTAAGCAAGAAGATATTTGCAACTGATAGCTGTTGGGAGAGGAAAAGTCTGTTTACTTTAGTGGAGTGACACTGGGTAATATCAAGCACACCACAGGTTAGGCTGCATGCTAAGAAATAGTTAACCAACACAAAATGGACTCCATGGTTTTTATTGCTTTTCTGGTTTGATTTGATTTGTTGTTATTGGTGGTGGTGATGGTATGTGTCGTTTTTATGTGTGCTTTTGTTGTGATGGTGGTGGTGGCTTTGTTTTGTCTTGCCTTTTAAGAGAAAAGAAGAGTACAGAGTTAGATGGCTGGGAATGGGGAATCTGGAAGGTGTTGTGGGAGGGGAAAAATAAGACCAAAACATATTATACAATAAAAAATTTAAATAAATAGTATTAAAATTAGAACTTTTAGAAATGGAAAAGTATAATAGCCAAAATGATTGCATGTATTCTGTTTAACAGCACATTAGATACAGTTGGAAAAGCACTCATAGAAATTAAATGAAGTGTCCTGAGGGAGAGAGAGAGAATGGAGAACATTAGAAATCTGAAAGAGTGGGCTGGGTCTCAAGATAGACTAGACTGTTCATTTAATATTAGGGTCAAAAGAGAACTGAAAGAATAAAAGAATGGAGTAGAGGCAGGAGTGCAGTGAATGATTCTTCCAACATAATATGCCAGCCAGAATCTCAACACAGTTTAAGCAGCATATAGAAAAAAGAATTCTACACTCAGACATGTCCATGCAACTTTAGAAGATAAAGAAACACTTCATGAAAATAGACAGAGTTGGGAAGGTAAATTTCTTTTATTGTAATAACAGAGTGACAGCTTTCAAAGAGCCATAGTGAGTATGCCTTTAGAGCAATGAAGAAAATTAGTTACCAACCTTTAATTCTGCCCCCTACTCTGGAAAACAGGTTACATGAACTGAACAATGAACAAATAAAAACATTTAAAAAGAGCAGCTCCTTACTATCAATTCGTTAGGCCAAGGAAAATGATCACAGAGAAGTATCGGCTTTGAGGAGAAGTGAAAAGAAAAGAAGAGGACTTATGCAAGCGGCTGTTGTTTTCAGATGGTGATGATAATAATCCAGCTACTTGTAGAGTAGTAATGGTTCTTATAAAGTGTCTTTGTGCAAGCAGGTAAAGAGTCGCTCTCTCACTCCTCTGACTGTTCCACGCATTGACTCTACTGATGTGCATGGTCCTGGACATACCTGTTTGCCATATTCCTGTCCCTGAAGCCCTGTCTTTGTGTCTTCTTTACCCAGAGGTTCCCTAGACCTTGTGGGTGGTGGAGCCAAAGAACACTGAAACCTGACCCTACTCCCCAATTATACTGATAAGAGATCACACTTACAGAAAGTGTGAATTCCTAGGAAATATCCTGCCATGGTTACTTGTGAAAACTGCAACCTCTACAAAGTACCCTCAAATATATTTGTTAGATATATATATATATATATATATATATATATATATATATATATATATATAATTTCATTAAATATCAATGATCTAAATATTCTAATTAAACAAAACAACTTTTCAGGGTAACTTTAAAAATTTTATTCAAAAGATTAATATAAATATAATGCAGAGCATTTGAAAACTAGGGGGAAAATATACCAAAACTACCAGGTTAATAAAAATGCTAGCTGAGGGCCAGGTGTGGTAGGATAGGCATGTAAAATCAGAAGGTGGTAGGAGAAGCAAAAGTACCAAGACTTCCAGGCCCCCTAAAGCTCCACAGGAAGCCATTCTGAGGGGGAAGGGAGGCTGTAAAGTAGAAGAGTGATTGTCCAGCACCTTCTAGAGCCCTGAAGGCTCTAAGATCAACAATTAATAAATGGAATTTCATGAAACTGAAAAGGTTCTGCAAGTCAAATGACACTGTTAATAGGACTGTTGTAAGTGACTATTAGTATTTATTATTGAATTATCTTCTAGTAAAGCTTGCTATTAATCTTAAACAGCTGTATAACCAAATCATTACACAGAGACTGGTTTTTAGTTAACCTAGAACACAATGCTGGGCAATATTTACTCCCTCCTAAACCTTGAAGCCCTCAGTTTCCTAACATTTAGATTTCCCACATTATACTTGCTTTTTGTGAAATCTTAGGTCTGGTTCATGCTCCACATCCTCCAAGATCTCTCCTCCAGCTCTGCTCTCTTAGCTCTCCTCTTGCCCCTTCTCCTCCCACTCATCTCCTGCCTTCTGGCTCCTCCCCTCTTTCCTGTCCTCTGGCTCCTCCCTGCTCAACATTGTGTCTAGTTGCTTTATTTTGTCCTGTTTACACAAGAGTTGAGACAGGATGCTTAGAATGAGTATCACAATGCAATATCCGGATTGAAACTAGAGAGTTGGGGGTTGGGGGGGAGAAATCAGCATTTGAATGAACAAGGGTAAGGTGTATACATTAAAAAAAAAAACATTATACCAACATAGGACAAAATGGCAACCTATAGAATAGGGAAAAGATTTTCATCAACCCAACATCCAACAGAGGGCTCATATCCAAAATACAAAGAACCCAAAAAACTAAACACCAACAAACCAGTTAAAAAACAGGGTACAGAGCTAAACAGAAAATTCTCAATAGAGGAATCTCAAATGGTTGAGAAACACTTAAATAAATGTTCAGTGTCCTTAGTAATCAGGAAAATGTAAATCAAAACAATACTGAGAGTCTGTCTTACACCTGTCAGTATGGCTGAGATAAAAAACTCAAGTGATAGCACATGGTGAGGATGTGGAGCAAAGGGAACATTCCTCCTTTGCTTGTGGGAGTGCAAACTTGTACAACCACTCTGGAAGTGAATCTGGCACTATCTCAGAAACGTAGTGATAGTTCTACCACAAGACCCAGCTGTACTCCTCCTGGGCAACATAGCCTTCTTTCCCTGTTTAAATTCTAACAGTGCCCTCTTCTCAGATAATTCATGCTTGTGTCAAGTTCACAAAAACAAAGGCAAGCAAACAAAAATATCCAACTAGGACAATGCTTTAAGTATGTTTATAATTTTATGTTGGACGACATCCATAGCTCTCCTTATTCATATATCACCCACCGATTGGACAGAACTATTAGACTTAAAGCTCCAGCACCTTCCTAAAACATCACCATCATCTAGGGACCAAGCATTCAATTACATAAGCCTGTGAGCCGAAAAAGATACTCAGAGTCTCCTTCAAGCAGCTCAGTCTAGCAAGCTTGATACAGGCTTGATACTCAGACTTTCTAGAAAGTAATGATTCACAATGAAGCCACAGCTTGGTTTATAATGTGACCTACAGGTAAAAAGCATAAGGAAAAAAAAACATTCCTTATATATGTGGGACCGTGATAAGCCCTAGCTGTGCTCTCCCAAGTTGGAATGTTGAGCCATTCTCTAGACTTCTTTCAGAGATACTTTAGTATCTTCTTTCAGAGATACTTTCTTTAGGTGTCCTATTGGAAATGCCAATAGGCATTTTGCACTGGGACAAAAAAGTTCATTATACATGTGAACAGGACCTAAAACCAGACAGTGCTAAGCATCATCTCTGGGTGTGTCAGCAGGGATCTTACTTACCAGACAGAGTAAAGTAAAAAAAAAAAAAAAAATCTCACTAATATGGGCAAGCACCATCCCATTCACACAGAGCACAAAAGGCAAAGCTGAGGCTGTCTTCTGTACCTATAACATCCAGGTTCTTTCCTTTGTCAAAACTTGGCAGCTGTCAAGGTTTCACACTCTTAGACTTATACCAGTGATCTCTCCATTCTCAGGCCTTGGCATG